CCCCAAAACCCCAAAACCCCGTAAAATTAATCTTGAGGCAAAATGCTTGGGGCAGGTTGTAAAACCCTGAGGTTTAATAAGAGTTTAATTTTTAAAGAGAATTTTTAAATTTAATTAGGATAAGTGAATTTAGGATTTGAATCAATAACATCTGTATGCTTTAAAAGAAGGATTTTAAACCTCAAGATAGACTGCTCTCTGTGGGCGGTCTGCAGCTGCAAAAATAAGGCCGATAGGGTGTTAGAGATAACTATCTTTGACAGGCTTGCACACATCACAAGTAAAGTAGGCGAACAGGAAACCTGGACGGCTGATTGATGATTGGCCCGAAACAATCTAGTATTGTTAGCAATAGTTGCCATAGTATTAAAACAGCCCGTATACCGCAAACCATGAGATTATATCTTTGTAGTAAGCTATTGGGCTGGGGGGCGAGTCTTGGCCAACTTCTGTGGAGGATTAGAGCTGATTTTTTACGTGCAGGGCATTGAGGAAAAGCACACACCCAAAGACTACAAGACATCTAAGCGAAAAGGAAATAGAGGGCATCTTCTTAATTAAGTTTCAAATTTAAATTTAATTAACTTTCATAATTTCATATAGTTGTTAGTAATCTTTAAAATACAATATTTAATTGCTCAAATTCAAGGTTTTTTCCTGAATACTAAATAATTATGATCGTCTAGTCATAAGCTGTGCCTCTTTTATTCCTAAAATTTATTAAGCCTTGAATTCTCAGCTATTATTACATTATCACTGGTCCATTATTTAGAAATCCCATCTTGCACAAATTTTAAATGCAATATATAGCAATTAAATTATATAAATTCATATTTAAAACATGTGGGAAGAAATCAATAGCATTGAAAAAGCCCTAGTATTCAAACAGCTTGTTCTTTACATCATCGCAGATGAGTCCTTTCCCAAGCACCTCACACTTAAGCATTCAGATGGTTTTAAATACTTGAATACCAAGTGATAAGGCAGACAGTGACATTGGCAAGTCAAAAAGAAAGAGTGAATGTGGTTTATTCTTGAATGCTGATGGCACATTGAGTACCGCGCCTTCTGAACTTGAGGATACAATCCTTGTCTACAAGATAGACATCCGCTCCAAGAAGCTCTCCATGGCTGTTTCATTCATAGTCTTCTAGCATTTGTCTGCACTCATCAATTTTGACGCACTTCTCAAGGTCAATCATGACAAACAAGGAGAAGGGATGAGTTTAGCTTTCTTCTGCGACCTTGCCGAATACATAAAAAATGAAACGCGCTGCAAACTCAATAGTGGTTCTTACTTTGTTGTCCACCAAGTCAAAGCTCTTAAGTCACATGCTTTCTATGAGAAGCTTAGGCTCGTTGCTGCTCCTTTGACCATGTAGTCATGGAAAATGGAAGATCTGGCTGTCTGCGACTTTGACAAGTTCTTCAAGTCTGCAACCTTTGCCAATTAACGGTAAGAATATTTCCCTCTTAATTCCATTATAGCAAGCCAAGAAAAATGCCTGCAAGGAAGAGGTCAAGAGTGAAGATGATGTTGAGGAAGGGAATCCTCAAATCGAACCAGAGTCCTTAATCACCACAAAGTCAATGAGTCGTCGTGATAAGCACTGTTACTTTGAGACATGTGGTGGTAAACTAATTACTGGTCTAAACAGGGCCCGTCATTTGAAAAATTTCAAGTTAGATGGCATTGATAAAAGCCTATATTCTCTCTACAAAAGCAATATGTCTAAATGTGATATCTGTATCAGATGTAGGTATAGCATCATTGCACCCCTATTTGAACTTACCCTTGTTTTTAGTGAAAGAAGTTGAAAGACCTGTAATGAAAAAGACCAAGAACAAGATGGCTTTCTATATTTGCAGCATATACAGTTCCCATCAGAGGAAAGTTAAGATGGCATCTATGAATCCGTTATTATGCAAGCCATGCATAAACAAAAAATAATGAAATGTGAGAGGCGAAAAGAGACTACACACTGATTCAATTTCCGAGTCTAGCTATAGTCCACCCAGCTATAGGAATGACAAAGCAAAAAGTGTTTGAAATATAGGAGGATGATCTGACCTTCTACAGGAATGAAAAGGATGTGTTATCTAAGCATTAGACTCTCAGCAGAAACCTAACCTCAATGCTTCCTCTATTTCTCGTTTTGCCTTTGTTATAATTCCGCTGCAGATACCACTTATATAGGCATGTAGATTGATAATGCCAAATCTTAAGGCAATACCAACAGTTTTATATCACAAGAGGAATCTGGTCTCATTACTCTCTCTAACATCCTTTAGATGGTTAGTATATCCAAGGAAGATATACTAATCATAAGCAAAGATGTGCTCAGGGTTTCTTTCTTGTTTGTGAATATCTACCCATACCAGTGCATTTTTAACAAACAAATGTACACATACACAGCTTATTGACTGCATCTACTTATTACTAGATGTGTTAACACATTGCTTCCTTTTTCTAGGGTAGGACTAATTGCTACTGTATTCATCCTTGGTTAATCTTGCTGGTAGAGTGCCGTAAATGCACTAAATATAAAACAAGAGAATAGTGATCTCCTCTGGAATAATTCTCTTCTTATATTGACCACTGCATATGACAGTCGCACTGCTAAGTGGTACAAATAATACTGGAAGTATAGCACAGATCAACAGATAGACTTATGCAAATACTTTAAATCAATCGGGTAAGAGTCAATATCTGATATATTAACACACTCTCTCATATTACAGAAATCTACTGCTAATGGAGATATCGTCGACTCACAACTTTCGATTAGCTAGATGAAGGAGCAATCGTGTATGTTCCTAGAGCATATATGAGCCAGACCAGCATAACCAAAAATATCACTCAGTGATATGAGACAGTTCATATCGACACTCTCCAGTGCAAAAAACCAAGAGATGGTAAATAAGCAGTAAGAATAACTCAAGGAAGCTGCTATTGTGCATTGATGGAGATATTAGAAGCAGCAAAGATTACTGTTAATATTGCGATGCGATTTCCATTTAGGCATTCCTAAATGAGCTGCAGAATTTATATGGCGTACTCAAAGAAATTAAAGGAGGATATCACACAAAGTGAAGACTGCATGCTTGGTAAGATAACAGACTCTATAAATATCAAGCCCAACAACAAGTAGTTCTCTCTCGCTCAGTACTGCGTTCATAATCTCTACAAGGAATAGAGATAGCTATGAGTTGTACCTTCTGGCTAAAATAAAGCTAGGATAGCTGTGGCTATTGATATGATATATCTGCTTAGTGGATTGTCTGAAATAATCAACATTGTGTTCCCTAAGGAGCATCTAATGAACAGAGATATGACAGAATTCGAGCTTCTTATTACCCTTTCCTCAATGGCTGAGGATAAAGTCAGATATCGTGCTATTATCGATGACTTTATACCTGAGAAGAACTCACTTATCATCGTTGATGAAGTTGATATCTTCTTGCTTGATGATCTATGTAAATTCAAAGCTGTTATCGTTGCTAATGCATTCATAGGTCTTACTGAAACTACTGCCAACACTCGAAGGTCGCTGATTAACTATTGTTCAAATAGTACTGTTACTCATTCGGTGATTCTGTAGCAATCAGCAATGATGAATGCCTATTGACTGATAAGAACATCAAAGCTCAGTCAAATGACTAGAAGTTAGAATGCATACAATAGATTGTCAAGCTTAATCCAGTAATAATCTATTGTAACGAACATCTCTAATGCATTTATAGCAGCCAATATACAGCCTGTCCTGATTAAAATGGACATTGATAACGAGAGACTGAGATCTCTTTATTAGATGACGAAGAAAACAGGACTCTATACTGTGATTGACTCACCATAACTTTCGGAATGAGAAGCTTCGACAACAGAAGTAATATGTTGCCTATAACTCTTGATATCGCATAAAGCTTTCTGATTAAGGGAGGTGCAGTATAGGCATTCAATAGAGTTGGCAGGTTAGTTGATTCTTACAATAGAATCAAGTTTGCTGATATCTAAATCATAAAAAGTAGAATTAAGGAGCACAACTACTTGAGCATATGAAGTTCTATCACAGCTTGCTAAGCCAGATGCTGTGAAACTTCAGAAGATAGTGGTTAAGAAAGCAACTAATAAATATAAGGGAAAGAGTCTATTGAGAGAGAATAAGTTACTTGGGTAAGGAGCCCGTAAGAGACAACAACAAGCACTTTGAATAGGAGTGAAAATGATTTTTAAAAAATTATATTAATTCATCAATTCATTCAACGTTAAAGTATATTTCATTTAATGTCACCCTTTGTCTATCCCTCAAGCCATCAATCTTGCTAATCTGCTACCGCTTTAAAAGTGCACATTGATCTAGAAGGTTGTGCACGAGGAGGTAGTGGAGATACCATAACTATTTAAATGAGAATTTATGATATCAACGAAACAAGTATGGTTCCTTATTTCGTCCATTAATTTAAATTATTCCTGCAATTTTAAATTAAATCAACTAAAGGTATACCAAATGCGAAAAAAAGTGGGTTTCGGAGTTCAGAAAAAATATACTTAATCATTGATTATTCTATCAATTAGTATCAAATTTAAAATTTAATTATAACCAATTTAAAATCATTTAAAATTATTATCATGATCATTAGAAATCTGAATTCAACTAATATTTTATATCTTTTGAAATTAATTTCATGGGGTTTTGGGGTTTTGGGGTTTTGGGGTTTTGGGG